TGGCAGAGGGATGTTGCAGAGGAGAAACAGTTCATAATTTTTCACTAAAACAGGAGGAAAAGAATATTAAATATCCATGGAAAGGAGGTATCTAAATAAATGGTAGAGCGCTAACATGTTATGTAGCAATCAGAATAAATAGCATTCAACTACTCTTGTAGGGCTAAAACAACAAGTTGCTGAACACTATATAAACTATGCATAGCACTTAATTTTTAAACAACTTTAAGTGTGGTTAACATACACAATGGTACATATTTAGAGCGTAGGCTTTGACGAGTTTCTGCGTGTGTATATCCACATGAAATCACCACTACACTCAAAATAATCAGTATTTGCACTGCCCCTCAAAGTTTTCTCATAATCCTTTGAAATCTGTTCCTCCTTCCACCCCATTTCTGAGCGATCGCTGAACTTTTTTCTATCATGGTACATTAGTTTGCATTTCTAGGATTTTATATAAATGATATCATACAACATGTATTCTGTTTTGACTGGCTTCTTTCACTCTGCATAATGATTTTTGAGATTCATCCATGTTGTTGCAAGTATCACAGATATTTCTACCATTAAGACATTTCTACCTCATCATCCTTCTGCCAATTCAAATAACATTTGTATACTCAGCAGTTAGGTGCTGCTCTGCCATTTGCCCTCATGCCCATTGGTATCCTTCATCTGTACTCTGAGGTCCTACTTGCTATGTCCCAATTCCTCTTGGATCTGCATACTCCCTGGAATACATAACCAGAACCAGGAGAGTTGTTAGGTCAGCCTGAGGTTAGTCACTGCTGTGGCCTGAACCATTTCCCCCCAAATTTTATGAAGCTCCAGCCCTAACTGTACCTGTTTCTGGAGATAGAGTCTTTAGGAGCAATGAAGGTTAAAGATGTCATAATAATAGTCCTGACGGATAAAAAAAAGAGGGAGCCATCTCAATCTTTCTGTGTCTGCTTGCCCCACTCCATGTGACCATTAAGGCTAATATGTCAACTCCATTGGATTAGGAAATGCCTAGTAGATTAGTAAAGCACTCTCCTTGGTGTGTGTCTGGGTGAGTCAAAAAGACATGACCTTGAGTATTAAATATGGTCCCTCATCTATTCCTCTCTGGCACTGTTCCCCTGTTCTGAGTTCCCAGCCAACGTGAACTAAGAAATTTTGCTCTGCCATGCTCCTTTGCTATGATATTTCTGCCTTGGAGCCAGCTGGCCATGAACTGAACCCTCTGTAACCATGAGCCAAATTAAACCTCTTTTTTAACTTGTGGGAGTTGGGTATTATGTCCCAACAACGGAAAGCTCACTAATACACCCCATCATATGAGGACATAAAAACCTGACCAAGCTAGGAATCTGTTTGCAGACTTACAGTCTCCAGAAAGAACTGTGAGAAAATAAATTCTCTTGTTGAAATCCCTAGTCCAGTGATGGCACACATTTAGAGACCAAGTGTCCAAACTGTAACCCACTTACTTATCACAAAGTGCCAACACTGCAATTAAACCTGAACACTGTGTTTTAGTTTAGAAAAAAGCAACTGTTACCTGGTGCTCAGCTACTGGGGTGAGTTGGCTTGTGTGCCAACAGAGAGGGCTCTGTGTGCCTGCTGTGGCACACGTGCCATAGGTTCACCATCACTGCCCTAGTCCGTGATATTTTGTTATGCAGCCTGAGCTGACTAAGACATCCCCTCACTCAGCAAGGAATCAAGGGAGCCTGCATTCTGCTTGTTTCGTACACAGTGAGGTGAGGAACAGAGGAGGTTTCATGGCCCCAAGTGCACTTTCTTCCTGCTTCTGAAGCTTGATCATTAGCTTACACAGTTACTCACAGGAAAAACTTCATGTCAACTCTGTCACGCCAACTCCTCCTGGGTCATTTTTCTTGCCACCTCCAAGAAATACCTTACAGAAAGACAGACTTTAACCTGAACATCAGGTAGGCCTTCATCTCCCTGATTCTCTTTCTTAAATCCAAGCAGTAGCATCTTGTCTTGCCCTTGCGTGCCTTACAAAGTGAGGCAGGAAGGGAAGAGAAGGAACCAAAAGCCCTCTCCAAAGTGACACACAGGAAAATGGGTTGGTCTTTTCTGGGGTACACAACGTGAATTACTGTCACGTTCTCTAGATGAACAATCCAGAGAGAAAGGAGGCGGCCCTGGGAGGTGTAAAGTGTGTGTGTGGAGGCTGAGAAAGCTTCTCCGCCTGCCTCCCTTCTCGGCTCCTCTAAACTTTCTCCCCAGAGCAGCCACCTCCTATAGCACAGACACCCACCTGCTCTGTATTCTCTGCACCTTTCCCTTCCCACCTCGGCCTGAGCAGCCAGGGAGCAGAGACGGAGGTGTGATCGCCCGCCATGCTTAAGCCCACCACCTGCAGGTCCCCCTGAGCCCAGCCTGTCCTTAGGTCTGAGCAGGTCCTTGTCTGAATGTGCCAGGCCTCTGCACAGTCCCTTCATGCTAAACAGTCATCATGATCATCACACTAGTAATGATTATGTATTGACTGCTTTCTATTTACCAGTCACTGTGCTAAGCATTCTGCAGGCATGGTTTCATCCGAGTCTCACCACAGCCCGATTACGTGTGTCATATTATCTTCATCTCCATTTCACAAATGATGGAAATGAACCTTACAAGGCATTCCTAAAGTCTGGCCAAGCTACTACCCACGGGGGGCAGTGGGGACCCTCCAGATGGGCTGGAAATTGACTCCCTCAGGTAGGGATTTTCCATGGTTCTAATGGAAAAATGAAGCAATTCTTCAAGTTTTTATTTTTATATGCAACAAATGGCTTCTTACTAGCAATCCTGTAATTGTGTACTAAGGATAACTACAATTTAGTTCCCATAAAAATAAACTTTCATAAAAGTAGCTCATTACTGGAGTTCATCACACACTCCAATGTTTGGGAGGACGGAGGCTTGGCAGCGCTGTGTTCATTCCTCTGTTCCCATGCACAGATGCAATTGGTAAACCCGTAATTTTCCCAACTCTTCCTTACTGGGTGTCACTACCTTTGCCTTGAATTGACAACTGGTTTCCATCACTATCTTTGCTCTTGAATGATAGCTTGCTGTTATTTTAGCTTTATCGCTATTTATTTAATTTGTTGTGGTTCTCTACATAATCCTACTGTAAGTGGGGAGGCATATTGAATAGTTTAGTCTGCTGTTTTCCAAGAACGAGGTTGAAGAAATACACATATTAGGCCTGTGAAACTGCACCTGTTTCACCACGTTGTACCTTAGGTTAAACCATACAAATCTGACTATATTCAACTATTTTTAACCCATAAAAATGCCAATTTTGTGGGGTTCAATTTATTAGTTCAAATGTAAATTACTACTATCTTGTCTGGAAGGCAATTGTATGTGCAATTCCCTCTAAATAAGTGTGTGCAATGACACTTAATTGGTGATATTCTGACTCTGAATTTGTGCTATCTAAATAATTTGCCACATACCATTATAAGGTAACGGCAAGATAATTGCTACATTATTTTAAGTTTGCATATATTTTTCTGGCATTCAAAATCTTGAGTGTATGTTCATGCTCTTTCTTTATAAGTCATTTATCCATGTCCTCTCTCACCTTTGTTCACTGTAGTGCAGCAATGGGCGGGACATGCAGACCATGGAGTCTTTTGTGGCACCTAAGCAGACAGTGGCCAAAGAAGCTTCAAAAGCACTACCATAAGGCCGGGGAAGATTTCTCAATTAATAAAATTAATCTAGAATGCAGATCTAGGCCGGCCTCATGGGTGGAAGAGGTGATGCATGTTTTGGTAAATGGCATCAATTGCATCTCTGTAACTGCCTAAAAGTAGAACCTCAGCCTTCTTTCTCTTTAGGGAACTGGACACACATCTATTGAAAGCATACTGTACACCAGCCACTCTACTTCATCTGTTAGGTCAAACCATATTTGACCTAACTGCAATGAACTCCCTGAGGTTTAGTATGATCAACCCGTACAGGTAAAGAATTAGGTTCACGGGCTTAAATACTAGCTCACTTTTACAGAACCAGTAGGTAAGTGGTGAAAGCAAACTCATACCTGTTCCCCACACTGCCTTTTCTTTTTCCTCTTCTTCCTCCCCTTCATCCTATATTCAATTCATCATCGAATCCTATTGGTTCTACCTATAGAATGATACTGGGATCTGTGTCTCCCCTCCCCCATCTTTACTATTTTTGTTCTATTTCTGTCTCTCCTGTGGGCAAAAGCAGCAGCCTTGTAGCCTCCACTCTGCTTATAGTCTCTACCCATCCTCCCCACCTCCTAACCCCATCTTGCTCCCAGCAGCACCATCATATTTACAGATCTGATGAGATTCCAACTCTTCCATCACCCTGCTGTGCTTATAGGATATAAACATTTCAGACCAGTTTTCCAACCTGCCTTTCTAGCCATCTCTTCCAACACTTGCTACCCCACCAAACCCTCTAGCCCTTCTCTCTTCCTTCCACACCCATGATTTGCCACCCCAATTCTCCACCTGGCAAATTTTCAAGGCCCAATTCAAATGCTACTGCCTATCGAAGAGTCATGCCAGTCTGTTCACAGAGTGCATAGCCCCTCCTATTTCTTTTATCCACAGGATTTTGTACAGATTTTTAATTGAATAATTTCTGTTGAATAATATCTGGTTGTTGAAATGTCTAAGCTGTCTTCCTCACTTGATAATGAGCCCCTAGGGGGCACAAGTTTAGTGCTCAGTAAATGTGCATTACATATATAGATACTCCCACGGCCTTTGGTGCACATAAAAATGTGCTGAGGAACTACTCAGTACAGTGAATTGAACACTGAACTGAAGTAGGGATTAGTTGAGGCTCACCCACCATCTTGGCTGTGTCACCAGGCACAACAAGGATCTGGGTCTCAGTTTCCCACTTGTAAGAGGTGGGGACAACAGAGTGCCCTTCTGGGACTTACATCTGATGATGTCAGGACTTGACTGCTTACCCCTAAAAATACGTCTTTTTCTCACCAGAAGGAAAGGACCTCAGAAGTCTTCTACGGAGAGTTATGGCACAGAACCCAGAGCTTCTAGCAGAGACCTCCGTCATCAAGTTCAAGGGTCAGGACTTTAACTCTTTGCGGGACCATTGCCTAAACACGGGGAAGCCATTTACGGATGAGATGTTCCCTGCTGAACCTTGTTCCATAGGCCAGAAGCTGCTCACAGGAAAAAACCTTTCCATCCTGAAGTGGATGCGGCCACGGGTGAGTGAGCCCCCTGGAGCACAGGCAGCTCTGGGACCCATGAAGCCGCCCACAGTGATACCTCCCAGTGAAAGGAAGATAGACCTGGGACAATTTTCAGAGATGGCCCAAACCAAACGAGAAGGAGAATGAAATCAATCCAGTCCCTCTGCTGCAGTATTGTATCTGCTCAGTGGCATGGGAAGACCCAGTGCCTGGAGTAGGATCCCCATCCTAGGGTCCCAGCCCTGTCCTCACACTGAGCCTGGCACTAGATTAAAATGCCTCTGTTCTCTCATAGGAACAATAAGAAGCCATGGGTGTGAGGATTATAATAGCTGGTCTTTAGGGTTCTCCCCCTCCATAATTGAGCCCATCTATCAGCCTGTCACCCTTTATTCTCTCCAGGTGTCAATGTCTTTATATTCTCCTTTCCTATTAGAATTTACTCAGAGGGAATATATCATGTCAGTAATTTATACTATAGGAGGAATTTAAATAATCGCCTTGCCTTTCTCTTTTTTATTCACACTCTCAATCTTGTAAAGGCTTGATCACCCATAAAAGAATTTTAGACAGCCACTGTAAAATTAGGAAGATATTGCAAGGCTGCATTCAAACCACTAATTCCCCTGGCTCCAACGACAGCTGCTAACTGCACCTTGTAGCAAGGGGAGTGTCTTTTAATAGTCTATGCCATGGTGAGTAGGAAGCAACAAGTAGCACCAGCAAGCCTGCCTTTCCCTTTTGTCCCATCCAGGCTACAAGCCTTTTGGGTGGTGTCACCCATGCCCAGCAGGGCCTTCTGTCTTCAGTAAATCTATTCAGCCACACCCGGAACTATGCTATTTCCAATCAATGGACTAATTTAGTATCACACACCCCTAATCCTAGTATCTCACACCTTAGACCCAGCAAGCTCTGAAATGCCCTACCTATGAGTACGTGAGGCTTTGGGGAGACATCTAAATACAAGCCATAACATTCTGCCCCTGGCTCCCGAGAGACTCCTGCACATCTCTTTATATAAAAGGCATTTAGTCAGTCTCTAAGAGTTGCCAAAGTCTTAACAGTTTCACCGTTGCTGAAAAGTCCAAGTTCAAAGTCTCTGAGATTTAAGGCAGACTCTTAGCTTCAGGCTCCTGCACAAATGAAAGAAGGTTAAACAGTTTCAACATACAATGGCACAAGATAGACATTCCCAAGCCAAAAGGTACAAATAGGGGACTATAAAGGAATGGAGCCAAAGCAAGTCCACCATCCATGGCAAACATTAAGACCTGTAGTTCCATGTCCAGTACCCAAGGAAATCTGTGGCAAGGTGTGTACTCCAACAGGCTTCGGTGGTTCCACCTCTATGGCATCATTGGTGGTTCCAGCTCTCATGGCTTATCACTTGGGCTGGCTTTGCTCATTCCTTGTAGCTTTCCTCAGACAATCTGCATTCCCGACTTCTCCAACTTTCTGGGGTCTTCACTGCACTTTGGCTTCACACTCACAGCTTCATACAGACTGTGCCCTTAAGGGGCACCTTGCCTGGCCTCCCCGGCCTCCTTCTGAAATCTGAGTGGAAGCCTTCCTGACCCCACAACTCTTGCATTCTGCATGCAACTGAAATCAGCACTGTATGAATGATGCCAAGGTCTTCCTTCTCTCTCGGCTGTAGGGGTTCAGTACCTGGATTGTTGAGTACTATGAACCCAATCCCAAGCAGCAAATTCCCTAGGCTGCCACTATTCTGGAGCATGGTGCTCTCAAGTCCTCATCTCAAAGCAGTCTTTCACCTTTGCAATTTTGAAGTTGCAAAGGGTGGAGTCCTGCTGCTTCTTGTGATGGCCTCAGACCATCTTTTCTATTGTCTTGTTCCTTCTCAGCAACCAAGTTCTCCTCTGCTCAGTCTTTGCAGTCCAGAATTTACCCAAATTAAAAATGTTTTAAATCATTCTGCTGGCTCTTTGCTCTTGATTCTCAACATAGATCTGGCTAAAAGACCTCAGCAATAGCCATGATACCGCTTCAACCTTAGACTGTCTTGAAACTTCTGCTAGATTAATTAGTCCACCACACTTAATCGCAGTCTCAGGCAGTCTCTGGACATTAGCACAATGCAGACACATTTTCTGCCAAAACCTAACACACATGGTCTAGAGTCTAACAGCCAATGCAGTCCTTGCTCCTAACTGAAAACTCTTGAACCTGGCCTTTACCAGCAGCATTTCTTTCAGCATTTTGGTCTTCTGAGTGCTGAACAGAATCTCCTATCAAGTTTGATTTACAGCACTCCAGGACTGCTTCTTCAACCAGCATTTCTGACCTTCCCAAACTCTTTCCACAAGCCAGTTCCAAAGCCTTCTGAACCACATGGCCAGAAAGTATCATAGCAATGACCCCACTTCTCTGTCCTAGTTACTTTTCTCGTTGCTGAGACAAAATACCAAACACCCACAAGCTAAAGGAGGAAAGGTTTATTCCAGCTCATAATTCATAGAAGTTTCAGTCTATAGTCAGCTGGCTCCAAGGCAGGGTAGCATGGCAGAGGGTCATCACAAAGGAGAAACATTCCATGGCATGGCAGGCAGGAAGCAGCAAGCAGTGAGTCTGCCTTTCCCTTTTGTCCCATCCCTGCTACAAATCTTTTGGGTGGTGCCACCTTCACCCAGAGTGGAGCTTGTCTTCAGTAAATCTATTCAGCCACATCCAGAACTATGGTAATTCTAATCAGTGGACTGATTTAGTACTATACTCCCTTAATCCCAGTATCACAGAGTCTAGATCCAGCAAGCTCTGAAAAGCCCTACATATGAGTACATGAGGTTTTGGGGGGACGTCTAGATACAAGCCAAAACAAGGAGTCTCACTGGTTTTTCTAGAACTATCTCAATTTTAGAGTGTGATGCTCAATGGGATATTTCACAGCAGCCTCAAAATTCTCATAACCTCATCAGAACTACTGTTGATTCAAAGGAACCAAATAAGAACCACACTGAGGATCCTGGTGCCCAAACCTCCTATTCATGTCTCCAAACTCCGCTGGCAGAACCTGGAACAAGAAAAAGCAGTACCAAATCTAGCAGACAAATGACAGTTTTATCAACACCATTACTGAGCACTGATTAAATGCCAAGCTCTCTACTGAGCACTTTCATTAAGGTCAGGTCAAGTTATTTAGCAAAGGTATTTTCTGATAATGCCTGGTAAGAGACTATGATACCCCAACAGTATCTGTCTGGTTCACACATGCAAATTCCCTTCTACCCTTGGGAAGCAGAAATCATGACATCAAGCTCTGGAGGACACGGCTGGCTTCAGTTGAGACAGATTTATATTTGGTGGAAAGAAAGGGTTAGTGAAGATCAGGAAGGGCCTGAGATGCTGCTTAAAGAAAGAAGGCTGTGGACATTTCCACCTCCTTTGGCCCCCCTCATCAGCCATTGGTAGTAAGTCACCAACAACAAATTCTTCTGGCTTTTATCTCCTAAGAAGTGCTGAGGAGGCAGAGAAGTCTATTTAAAAAGTCTGAAGGGTCATTTTTTTCCCTTTATTATTTTCAAAAGCTGAGATTCTTTTCGGAAGTGGTGGGTTCTTTTTTTTGTTCTCACAAGGTGCTGAGCAATAGATGTGAGACCATATTTATAGTCTTGAGGAATTTATAACATTTCTATTTAGAAAGGGTGAGAGTTTCTTATTATCTAATTCCAGCAACATCTCAACTTGTGATGTCCTGTGGGAGTAAAGAGAAACTGAGGCAAACAGAAGTGAAAAGACTCAGGCAGAGTCATACTAGGAACCAAAAGTAGAGGCAGCTAGGGCCCCTGTGAGTTTTCCTTTCCTCATCCCAAAGCTTACCTGAATTTTCCCATGTCATTTTTCATTCTCACACCTCTTTTAAAATATCATATTTCTATTTGCCACTTCACACAATTACCGGTTCTTACATTTGTAAGTACTTTCCAGAGCTTTCTGAATGTCTTCTCTTCTTTTGTGTCCTTTGTTTTCTAACTTTATAGAAAAAAATGAGGTTCAGACTGGTAATGTGACTTGCCCAAGGTGCCACAGGGAGAGAAGGGCCCTGGATGTAAACTAAGATTCCAGTCCCCACATGCTGCATGGACTTGACAGCCTCATAGGGAGCTTGTTAGGATTTGGATGAATAGATGAGGAATGAGTGACTTTCTCCAATTGCCTGGCACAGGTTTCTAGTTTATATGTGCAGTAGAGAAACCTTGGGTTGATCCATTTTCCATGTAGCACAGCAGAGGGATAAGCCAGCTACTCACCTCTTCAACACTGTGATGTCCTTGACTGCTGAAGCTTATATCTGTGATGGCCAAGAACCTTAGAAAAAGAAACTCAGCCAGCCTGGTTCAATCCCAGTAGGAATAACCAATACACATGGTACTGACCGTAACATAAGCCTGGTTATAGGTGCTTTGATTCATTGAATCCTCATTGTAACTCTGTGATGAGGTCTTAATAGTAGTCCCATTTTGTGATGAGAAGCAGACACAGAGAGCAGAGTGACCTCCCAAGTCACACACCTAGACAGTGGTAGAGCTGAGATTTGAACCTTGGAGTCTGTCTCCAAGACCTGAATTCCTGACACCACACTATAGTGGTACCTCAGTTTATGAACTTAATTCTTTCCATGATCCTGTCACACACCAAATGGGACGAGAACCAAATCAAATTTCCCCATAAAGTCAACATCGAACCTAACCATTGAATTTGATTCAGTTCTCATCCCATTCAGTTTGCAACCAGAATCATAGAAAGAATTAAGTTTGTGAACTGAAGTACCACATATGGTCCCCTGTAAGTCTCCACTAGAAGCATATATTGTATTCTGGGCTTTTTCTTATCACTAATGATATTTTCTGCACCAACAGAATCTGCTACCTCACGTGGGTAAACTGGACTCAGTTTCTCAGAAGTAGATCTTTCCATTTATATTCTGCCCATCTTTCTATTTTTTTGGTGAAAATAATGGGGATAAACATAGCACTTGTTCCTCATATGGTTAT